TCCTTCCAACAGCAGAGGGAAGTCTATGGCTCCCCCAGCAGCATTGGAATAATAAAATACTTGGAGTAGATCAAAACTTATGGTAAATTGGGGTTGTGCAAATGTCTAGAGATATATAGCAGAATGACTCAACTGATAAAAGACTTGTAAGGAGTTTCCAGCAGGAATCATTGCATCTGTAATTTATTACCATTATTACTCATTATATAAATGCTATTATAAGAGATGGCAAAAAAATAAATAATTCAAATCCAACACAGATTTGTACATGGTGCTATCGTGCATGAAAGACTGATTAACATGTTATTCTAACTCCAACCTTCCCCATGCAGAAAGGAACCCCAAATATAGTTACTGCCTACTGTGCAAAATGAGGGAACATGTTTTTACTGAATGAAGGCCAAATCTTTCAGCAGAATTCCATTTATCATCAGTGGGTATATTTCTCCACCACCCCGCAGCCAACTCTAGAGTGGTTTATATGACCTTGACTCTTTTAAATTTATTATTATTATTACTATGTGCTGTAGTTTGAGGTATGTTGGGCGAGAATCCTCTGTTCAAACAAGTTCACAGAGGAGGAGCCCAACACCTGCGTTTTATAGCTCAATCTGCCTTTCGAGGCCAATGTTATTTTCAAGTTTATTTTACAAGTTTTTGACAAAAGCATCTGCTGTGAGCCGTTTTGCTCAATGCAGATTTACAAGGCCACATGGCACTTGAACTTTGTGGTTGCTTTTTGGTATGCCTACGTGGAATGGGCCACCTGAACTGTTCGCCATGAGCAGTTTATTAAGAAGGGGCCGTAACCCAGTGGTACAGTTAGGAATAAGGAAGAAATCAAATTCAATTTGCATTTAAAGGGTAAACCTAACTCATTCACAATTTCTGAAGCAGCAGACAAACCACCCTTCAAATTCACACGTCTACAAATTTTGCAGTGCAATTCTCCAGCATGTCTATTCAGGAGCCTTCCAATGCCAGTGGGTTGCACTCTTTTATTGGGATGAATAAGATGACCACCAGGGTCCCTTCCAACTCTACAATTCTATGCTTCTGAAAGGAAGTACTTCTTCACAAAGCCCATAGTTAACCTATGGTCTCCAACTTGGATGGCTTTGAAAGGATAGGACAAATTCATGGAGAATAGGCTATGAATGGCTACTAGTCCTGATGGTTCTGATCCGCCTCCATGGTTGGAAGCAGTAATGCTTCTGAATACCATTTGCTGGAAACCTCAGGAGAAGACAGCGCTCTTGTGCTTGGGTCCTGCTTGTGGGTTTACCACAGGCATCTTCTGGTTGATCACAGTGAGAATGGGATGCTGGACTAGATGTGCAGTTGGCCTGATCTAGCAGGCTCTTATTATGTTCAGCGTTAGTCATACCTAAGAGTACACCCATTGACATTAATGGGTATGACCAATTTGAGTTGGATGTTGGAGACAACCTTCAACCTATTGTTGAGATGTTCAAGAGAAAAATCAAAGGCTCTTTTCAGCATCTGATATTCAGAAGCATGGGCTGCTTCTGGACTAGGAGATTCCTCCAATTGTCATAGATATTAATCACCAGTGAATTTGCCAGCTTAGTGGCATTATAATAAATTGAATCCAAAGGTGATTATTTCCAAGCAAAGGTCTTTAGGAGCAAGGTCCATGGTTTGTTGTTGGTATACCCCTCTAAATAATATGGGTGCCTTTTTAAAATTATTATTATTATTACAGTGGGTCGCTTCTGGGTCGCTGCAGAGCGCAACCCAAAAACGCTCAACCTGAAGCAACTTCAACCCAAGGTATGACTGTATTATTATTATTATTATTACTACTACTACTACTCCTCTACTCCTCAAATATTCTCAGTGGAAATGTAAAGAGTTCTTCCCTCCATTTTTTCTTCACAACAACCCTGTGAGGTAGGAATAGACTGGCTCAAGGACACACACTGAGTTTCATGACTAAGTGGGGACTTAAACCTAGGTTTGTCTGCTGAGCTCTAACCTGGGAGTAGTCAATGTGTTGCTCTCCAGATTCTATGCAGTACAGTGGCCATCATCCCTGACCACTGGCCATGCTAGCTGGCACTGATGGGGTCCAACAACATCTGGAGAGCACTAGGTTGATGACCCCTGCTCTAATCACTCCACCACAGAAACCTTCTGAATAAGCCAGTGTGGTTAGTACTGGTTAGAATGTTGAGCTATGACCTCGGAGACCCAGGTTCAAATCCCAACTCAGCCATGAAGCTTACTAGGAGACCATGGGCTAGTTACTGCCTCTCAGCTTAATCTACCTTACAGGGTTGTTGAGAGGATGACATATGGAGGGGAGAACCATGTACATCACCTTGAACTCCTTGGAGGAAAAGGTGGGATATAAATGCAATAAGATAAACTTAAGTTTGGGCAGGAGGAGATGTTTTTAAAATACTGGTGCTGATTTTTGCCATGATTGTTGTTATTATTATTTTAATTAGAACCTTGTGTGTTTTTTTAATGAAATTGCACACCTGGTGAAAGAAAAAAAGCAAGTCTTGCGTCTCTTCATCTTTCCTGGCAACCCATCTCCAAGAGGAGGGGAAAGAAAAAGGTGTGTCGTGGCTAAATGAGTAAAATATATGGCAATTAAAAAATTACAAGTTTGACAAAAAAGCTGGGTGTGTAGCGTGTGGGTGCCCCGGGGGCAGTCTGGCACCTTCTGCAGCAAAAAGATTTTGTGCTGCAATTGTTTTAATGAAGCTATGACTAATTGTTGCACGTCGTGGCTTCTGGTTCACCATCACAAGGCACGCACGTTAAGAGCGGAGACAAAATTTCCCAGAGGAGAACTTTCTACTTTAACTTGGAGGGGTGGATAAGAGACAAGGGGGGTGGGCGGAAAGGATGGTGGTGGCATCGACTCCCATTCTTCAATACTAATGTGAGCACCTTACACTGTAGGCCGACATATCTCCATAGGTAGGGTAGACAGAGAGCTGTGGAGGGTGGTCTTTGAGGCAATGTGAGGCATAACTCCATCAGGTTTCTGACCCCCCAATGGCATTGACAAGTCTTTCTCCTGACACCCACAGTCATACCTTTCTATTGACTGAGAGGCTTTATAGATGCTTCTGCCCATTTCCTCTCCTTAGCCAATTAGAAAAAATCATTTCCAACAGGTTCATACCTGGAGAAATAGTGCTTATATTTCATCAGATGCTTTCCTTCTAACTGGGATTCCAGAAATGTGACTGCAGAGAAACATGGGTACACAGGGGTACACATACCCCTAAATATTTTGTGAATCTTTGTACTTTTGTCCATTTGCTGTATTTATTTACCCCGATTTGAACTAAAAAATGGTGATTTTCTTGAGTCAAAATGAGAGTACCCCTAAACATGTTTTTAGGGGGGAAAGCACTGGTCACATGTGACAACAGGGGCCCCTTATACACCAATGTTTCTGGAGTGGTTTGACAATCAGTCCCTCTTCATAGGGGATTATGGGAACTGTAGCTGTGGGAGGGGAATAGGGGGCCTCCTAACAACTCTTGGCACCCTTAACAAACGACAGCTCCCAGGATTCTTAGCAAGAAGCCAGGACTGACTAAAGTGGTATCGTAGCACTTTAAATGTTTGGTGTGCATTTTGGTTGGCCAGCATTGCCAGGGAAAGCACCGACCTTGAAAAGGAGCAAATGGAACATAAGAGCTCAGCCTGACCAATCCAACCAAATGGAGGGCTGTGTGCTTTCCCTGTAAGGAATGCCAAAGTGTTGAAAGGACAGATAGGAGGGTGTGGTCAGGAATGTGATGGAGGAGAACTAAAATAAGTGCAGACACAAATCTCCCTGCTTTCCGCTGTGGCGACATGAGTTATCGCCACATGATACCAGAGAGATAAAGCATTGTGTTCCCCCTTCCCACTGCAAATGGTGTATCTTAAACATGAGGCGCTGTGGAATGAACATTACGGGACAAAGCATGCGTGTGTCCTGCTATCAAAGATACACAACATTAATTCATGGAAAGGCATATAGGCTTTTAGATGGGCTACAGTCCTTTCCAACTCAAGGGCTGGATCCTCAGTGCACACAAAGCTTTCATTGGTTTCTTTGTTTGCTATAGATATTTTTACACCACCCGTCAATTATATTCTTAGAACTTTGGGTCTTTTATAGATTTAGCGCACTCAATATCCCCCTCCCCGATTATCTGCTCCTCTCTAATGCTAATCAATGTAGAAAAAAATATATAATCTGATTAATGGAGTACAGTGTTGAGCATTACAGAAGATTAAGTTCTTCACTATGGAAAGCCTTTTTTTTTTTAACCTGCTGAAGTTAACAAAAAGGTGAACTGTGAAATTGGCCAGCAATACGAGTAATCAATTATAATAACTGTATCCTGCTTACCTCTAATAGGTAGAAGATTACCTATTTTTTTCCTATCCATTGAATATACGTCAACTTTAAAAAACCCCCACAAAAAACCTGTGAGGTGAAAAAGCAATAAAGATTTTCCAGGCATTGAAAGCTGAATGCGTACAATTATGATAAAAATCATACATTTCCCTTCTTATTTCCTGTTTCAACTCTTGGGTAAAATACTTTCCTAGTACAATAGATATAACAATATATCTTTGGATTTTATTGGCTGCAGATTATGCTAATTATCATAAAAAATTACTACCACTAATAAAATTTCTATTATAAGTTACTTATAGTAATCTCTAGGGTGCTATCCTTAGCTTAGAAAAGATTGTAATTACATTGCGTTTATGGGAAGAATTTGTTTCTCAACATTGCTCTATCATTATCTGTTTCTAAGTATCATCTAGGCTCCCTGCAAGCAGAGAACTGGAGTCCCCTCCCCACAGTTCATTGATCAAAGAGTGTTCCTGATCCATGAGGGCTACAATGCAGAAAGCACACAATAAAGTATATTGCAGAATCATAGAACTGTAGAGTTCGAAGGGACCATGAGGGTCATCTAGTCCAACCCCCTGCAATGCAGGAATCTTTTCGCCCAACGTGGTGCTTGAACCCATGACCCTGAGATCAGGAGTCTCATGCTCTACCAACTGAGCTATTTCACCAGCTATATTTATGAAAATCACGCTAAATCACTAAATGGTGAGCAAAAATCTAATTCCAGGTTGAAACCTGTCCCTGGCTTTACAAGAAGCCTTACAACATTCTGAAAGAGCCTCTGCCCAGAATTCAGGGTTGGTGCTTCCATTAATCCAGGGGTGGGGGAACCACAGGCCCAGCAGTCAAATGCGCCTCCTCAGACCTCTCTATTTGGCCCTTGCACCTCTCCCCAGCCCATAGCCCTCCCTGGCCCTGCAGTGCACCCTGAGGGAAGGCAGTTGTTAGTTATTCAGTTCAATACTATTGTATTTTACCTTTTTTGCGGGGAAGGGGATAGGTAACATCTGGTTTCAGTGACTAACCATTTGCTGCCTTTTTGTAACACCCAGAATCAGCTATCTGAAGTATGGTTAAGGTAAAGGACCCCAGGGCAGTTAAGTCCAATCAAAGGTGACGATGGAGTTGCAGAGCTCATCTCGCTTTCAGGCCAAGGGAGCCGGCATTTGTCCACAGATAGCTTTCTGGGTCATGTAGCCAGCATGACTAAACCGCTTCTGGCACAACAGAATACTGTGACAGAAACCAGAGCGCATGGAAATGCCGTCTACCTTCCCTCTGGAGCGATACCTTCCCACAGAAACTATTTATCTACTTGCACTGAACTGCTAAGTTGGCAGGAGCCGGGATAAAGCAACAGGAACTCACCCTGTCACGAGGATTCGAACTGCCAACATTCCGATCGGCAAGCCCAAGAGACTCGGTGGTTTAGACCACAGCGCCACCCGCATCCCTGCTTATCTGAGGTAGTTACCCCACCTTTCCTTATGGCAGGGCTGGTCCTTGCTCAATGGCGGCTGGTGACCATTGAGACTGGAAGAGTGAAAGGCAGGGAGACCAACATTAGGTGGGGTCAAAGGCAGTGACAGGAAGAGCCTACTAACTCTTGGTTTGTCTGCATCCTCCTCGCTGAGTTCAACAAGCAGGACACTGAGACTAAGGAAAAGGAGGCTGCCACAGGCAGTGCCACACCCCTGGACTGGTGGTGGAACACAGGCAGATAGGCAGAACCAATGAACCAACCTCCACTGTAGTAATGCCATTTTAGATCTGTAATGGACTAAGGTGGTAAAGAACTAGAGGTGGCTGCATACATACCATACATTTAAGGGACACAACTTCCACCAAAGAATCCTGTGATTTGTAGTTTATTATTGGTACTGGGAATCATAGTTCGGGGATGAACTGAGAGTCCCAGGATTCTTTTGGGGGAAACCATGCACTTTAAATGTATGGTATGGCTGTGACTTCTGATTCCATGACTGGCTGCCACAGCCTAGTGCTATATTCCCCAAGATTCAGATCTTTCTACTTGCACCTTTGCAACCCAGCGTTCCACTCATGCACAGAGAAAACATTGGATGCAGCCCCCTGGTTTGTTTGTTTTTTGCAAATTCCTCCCACGCCTTGTTTGCAGGAAAAGAAACAAAGCTGTCAAGTTCAGAGTCGAACACTTGTTCCTAATATTGGCAAAGAACACATACGCGAGCTTTTGCATAAATGAGTTGTCTATTTTTAAAGCCACTCAAATGGACACTTTCATTTCATATGGCTGTTAATTAAGATGCTGATTAGCCCTGCTATTGAAACATTGAAACCACTTTGAAAAGAAATAGCCACTCTTTCTAATTTTGCTTTTTTTGTATGTTTTAATTAGTTGGCTAGTCAAAGTTATTTGCAACTCTGTCAGCAATCAAAGCAGAGCTGTTTAATTTGATGATATGTCTCAGCAGGTAACACACCAAAGTTGAGTTTATTTTGTTTTTACAGTTTCCTGCAAGCAGTAAAGTTATTGCAACCCTGTGATATTAGATCATTGCAGAGTCATCAACTCCTCCTATGCCTGAATGCAAAGTAGACAGCAACAATAGTTGTCTTGTCAATTAGAAAAGCAGGCAGGCTATTTGGTGTGAACACCCACCAGCTTCCACCAATTTTATACACACAGAGCATTTCCTGTGGGTGGGGAAGGACAGGGGGAGGGGGAAAAAACCTTCTCCCATCTATTCATCCTTCCATTGAATTCTGACAGACAATTTTCCTCCTGGGAGGAGGCTAGGGTGGGTGGGAAACCTCACATTTGTGCCTTTTAAGAATGTACTTTGCGTCATGTGAAAGCAACAATGTTTTCCATTTTCTTTTTAATCAGCCTCCAGAACACTTTTTAAAAAATAAAATAAAAAAGGTAACCTTTAACCTTGAGGAAAAAAGAAGAGGAAAGAGAATGAACAACCTTATGATGTTAAGAGGTACGGACCCAACAGGCTAGGCAATGAGAATGCTGCTGTTAGCAACAGACTTTGCAAATGTTTAACTTGCATCTAGGTTTCTGCATGCAGGGATTTCATTTACTTATTTAGAACGGTGGTGCATACAGTCTGTTGAGCTCATTGTGTACCATCAGGGTCCTGTTCAGCAGGAAGGGCAACAAATAGAGGGGGCCGCTTGCCACATTTTGAAGTGAGTGATGCTATGCATTCTTCTCTCACACATATGTATGTGTATGTTTTTCTACACACATAAATCATAAAACATGGCATGTCTGACAAAGATGGGTCACTAGTGGGAAGGGAGTGAAGTATGCACCCACCTGAGATTCTGAGTCTAAAAGGGCAATGTCATGGACTGACTGGATGCAGAGGCGTGGTAAGAGGCACCAGCTGGGGAACCCCCAAGGGAACCACCTTCAGGACCACCTTCAGGACCACAAGGTGTGGTGACCCAACTCTTCTAAGCATCCCAAATCCCTGAAAAACACACTGAGCACTGAGTCAGAGGTCGTGTCCAGATAACCTGGAGAAGGGCTGTAGCTCCATGGTAAAGCAACTACTTTGCATGCAGAAGATCCTATGTCCAATATCTATATCTCCAGTGAATGGCTGCAATCTAAACAAACCTGGAGAGCTGCTGCCAGTCAGTGTAGACAATACTGAACTAGATAGGCTAATGGTCTGACCTAGCATAGGGCAGCTTTCTATATTCTATGCTCCTATGATACCACTTGTTTATTGACCATTTATTTGCAGGACAGTTAGATGCCATCAGATATTATTGCTGGAAGTTTAGATGTCGTTGTGTCAACCAAAAGCCCACTCCACACTTTTCAGTGCATTTCTCCTTATCACAAAAAGACTGATTTGTGGGGAAAGCTAGTTAGTTGCACAAGACCTCCAAATCTACTTTAAATGCACAACCTGAATTTGCGATTGAATCCCACCTGGAAATAGCAATAGTCTGGAAGCACCAAGAGGCCAGTTTGCTATACAGAACAAATGACTATGGTCTAGTCTGACGCTCTGAACAGGGCACACTTGCAGTGGCTGGCTTGCTCACTGTTGTGCATATCTTTCATAGCTTATGAAATCATATGTGAGGAGGAAGAGCAAAAAGGAGTTACATTTCCGTCTTCCCAGTCATTTATTTTGTGCTGGCGTTTCCTTTCGGGTTTTTACTTTCAGAAAGGAAGAGTCGCCAAGCGTTAGAGAAACAGTGGAGCAAACATGAGAAAGCCATTTACCTTTTCTGCCCTGGCTTCCTTTTCAGACTTGCTAACAATGCCCTAACTATTTATGCATTTGTTGAAGGAGTGCAGAGCATAAAAATGTCTATATTTAAGTCACTTCCATGGAAAAGAACACACATGCACGAAAGCACAGGATGATTCCAAAGAAATTATTTCAAATCCTATTTCCTAGCAAAAAAAAAATGTTGATAGGTTGCAGTGACTGCCAATTTGAAGGGCAAACGACCAATTATGATTGTTCTTAATGTTATTATTATTAACCTCCACCCAGGGTGGGTTACAACTTTAAAATACAGTATTAAAAACAGTTTTAAACAATGGGTCCAAAAATATACATCTCAAGCATCCCAAGGTAGGGTAAAGAGGTGCATCTTCAACAGCTGTATAATGAAGGTGCCAGACGCATCTCTGTGAGCAGACAATTCTACAACATAGGGGCACCACAGAAAATATTATATACAGATGTGCACAACACAGTCCCACGTATTGCTTTTTTACTTCTACTTTATAAAAAAGTGAAATGTAGCATAGAGAGTTGGCAATTTTAAGTGGGAGAGAGAGGTGGAGCAGGCGTTGGGGTGCACTTTCTGTCCTGGATCATTCCTCCCCCCTGCTCACAATTACCCCACCTGCTGCTTTTCCCAACACAGGTTCCAGGCAGATATATGTGCTGTTAGAACCCAAAGTGGCTGGAAGTAGGGACAGAGAGGAAATTTTGTTCATTATTCATTGAAAGCCAAATTCATCAAGTCCCCACTTTCTGGAACGTAAACCAATACCCAGCTGTCCTTCAAAACTCACACTTTCCCAAATCTTGCAGTACAGTTCTCCAACCAAAGTGTGTTTACAGAAACTCATAGGTGTGCATAAAAATGAAGATATTGGTGAAAATACCGCACCCTAATGTTAGGGGAAGTTGTTTGCAAAAATGTGTACATTAGTCATATCACAGAACTGAGAACTCCTCCCCTTCCCCACATCCATGCACTTGAGTTACAAAAGTTTACCCAAGTACCTCACAACATTGCTGTCCATGTGTTGTGGGTGATCATAGACTGTATGAATTATTGTTCTACACTTCTAAGTATAGAAGTGATGCATAAAATGCATTGACATCCATTGAGCCACTTCTGCCCCTGACCACCACTGGAATGTCATGTTCCAAAGGTTCTCCACAAGGACTTGTGGCCCTTTGGCTGAAAAACTTTCCCCATACTGTGCTGTAGCCACTATATCTCATTGCCTGTAACTATCAAACCCTGGAAGAAGAAGACTGGATACCTATCATGTCACTCAGTAAGGAATCACCTCCCACTTCTCTCTTTCCAGGCAAGGTGACAGGAGACGAGTCTCTTGGAGGTATAGCTTTTTGTGTGGGCTATTTTCATGGAGGGACAATGCTCTGCATCTATTAAAACAGTAGCACTG